GATGCCATATATTTTCGTTGCTAGTTTAAGCAGCTTTATCTCACTTGTTGGTCTCAGTTGTGGCAAACTCATTATAATCAGTTCTAACTAGTTTTGAATAGAAGAAAATCCTGGAAAAAAATGCGAGGTGTCTTCATGTGACAATTGGAATTGCCCCAAACCTTCAATTTCATTCACTGTTTCCTTAGTAATTCTCTAGAACCATCTTGGCTGTTCGCAGATGCGATCTACGCGGCCGGGTTTCATACAAGAATGAGGTGGGGTTTATCACCTCGTCATTCTAAGGAAGTTCAAACCCTTTACAGAAAAACCCATAGACCATAGCCTTTCTGTTTTTTTTTAAACGTTTCAAACAATTTATTGAAGTTTTGAAGGAAGAAATGTTCTTGGCATTATATTCCTTGAAGTTTTAAGTTCATGTGAAACTCGTGAAGATGAAAGGAGACTGACGATGACAAGTTGTGGTAAAAGATATAGTTTCTTTCACTTTCCACTTCATTCTGGGCAACATGAACTTCAGTTAACTCGCTTTCTGGTGTAAAAGAACGAGTTCACTAGCGTTGAGTTGGAGAATATTTGCATAAAAACAATAATGATGAAATTTTGCAGCGCACCGAGATATTTCGCATTTCCATTTCCTATTCCAGATCTACGAAACATGCTGTGTTTGGTATGAATAATGTGGCCGGATTGACAGAACAGATTTCAATACAGTCGTCATGGTGATAAATAAAGAAAAGATTTAATCGTGTTATGTCGTTAAACAGTAAGGGTACAAATAACTTTCATGAAGGAACGTACAGGCTAAAGGACAAACGGTGAATTGAATAAGCTTCTGCAATACTTAGACTGATGTACATTTGCAACATTTCACCACATACTGATAATCTCGAACTTACTTGACTAATTATCTTGACAGCTCTTTCTGCATAGCTTCTCCTATGAATGTTTAATAAAATCTTTGCTCCTCATGCAAAGGCAAGTGAAATATCGAAAGAAAAGTCGTTGCACTTTCTTATCACCTCATCGTTGAGAATGCAGTAGAAGATGAGTTTTTTTCACTGTCTACTCTATTTCAGTTTGAAATCTCAAAAGCAGCTTACCTGCAATGTCAGATACCTCAGATTCCGACAAGAACCTACTTAGTAAAACCTCGCATTTTATGGTTTGAAACCAGTTCAAAAATCCATGACTCACTACTATTTCATAGAACATTACACGACGCGGACACTACATGGAAGCATTTGTGGTTATTAAGCTTACATATAGGAAGTTACATAATTCTTCAAAAATTCATGATTCTTCATATAACTGTCATACAGTGGAAAAATTTCACAATCTTATGGTTTTAATTTATGAATTCCTTATCACATTGTAACTACGTTCCAGTCAGAAACTCAATGTACGGTTGTCTGGTTATCTGCTCGCATTTTTATAAAACAATTTTCTATGTGGAAATGTTATGAAATTTTGTGCATACATCCTTCGACCTTCTAGAACGTGACAAAATAAAGAACCCATTCCATTCAAGAATGAGTCACCTCACCACCGACTTTAAATGGTCTTTGGACTTCGTTACGACGTCTTGGAAGCGAGTCTTGGAAGACAGCCTCGATGTTTATGTCCTTGAGCATGATGGTATCAGAACGATCTGGAATTACAAAGAATATTCGCTTGTACGTTTGGAACAATCATTGGTAATTGCTGGATAATAAAATCACTTGTTGCTTTGAGCAACGTATCCTGTTAGCTAGGAAAGGCATATCTCTCTCCCAGATTATAGGGGTGTTACGAGAATAGTGCAATGCGAATATCCTTTGATAGAAGAGCTCCCAATATTTTGAAGGTTTGAGGACTCCAAAGTATAGTTAACATTCAAAAGTTTTCTTGGAACGAACGAATAACGTATCTTTGTGACAAAAATACTTGAACTAATGACTGATAATCGAATCGCCAACTGATATTCGACTAGTGGGGATCCCAAATATTCGACTATTCAAATCATCGAATAGTTGGG